ACCCACAGCCAAGTTTGAGAGTCATTGTCCCGGTCATAATGGGTTTAAAGGCGGTCTCCAGCCACTCCAGTAACTTAGGGTTGCAGGAGAGGGAGCCATCTGCCCCAGCAGCACAGGAGGCTCACGAGACGGTGGCCGCTCGCTAGCTCGGCGTCTCCGGGAGGCCTGGAAGAGAACTGCCCCGCCCAGCTCAGCGTCGCCGCGGGGCCTGCCGGGAGATGTAATCCACCGTGCGACACGTGACTACGCCGAGCTTGCGGTCTGGGCGGTCCCGGGAACCGCGAATCCTCCCCGGGACTGGGGGTTTGGGGCGGTTAATCGGCGGCGGATCTCTGACCCGGCAGCGTCCTGCTTTGGGCGGCTGGATGGCCCAAGGGCCGCTAGGGACTCGGCCCCGCGCCACCGGCTTCCGATTGTAAGACAGACTTTAAACTTGCTTGCCTGGGACGTGTTCTTCGTCCAGCTCTGCGCGGGCAGGATCTTACTCGTCTCCCTCCTACCTCCTCCGTGAACCTTCGTGGTGAGAGGTGAATAGAAGCAAACCCGGAGGGTCGGTTTCCTGGCCGAGCAATTGAGTGCTTTGTGCCGGTGAGGGGAGGATCGCCCAGCTTCTCCATTCCCTCCAGCAACGGTCAGGCCCGCGGGCTCAGGAGATGGAAGCGTAATAGGAGTGAATCGTGACAGCCAGAACGGTTTATTGAGCGCCTGCTTACATGTAGCCGGATCCTTACAACACACAAAATTGTAGGAAGTATACACTATTATGCCCACGTTACAAAACGGCACCGAGTGTCAGTTAAGTCACTTGCCCAGCCAGGGTCACACAGCTAGTCTGTCGCTGAAGTTAAAGCTACCACGATGGTAAAGGGTGACATGAGGCCGCAGAGACAGTCCTGAGGGTTTTTTTCTTGTTCCACTCCAGGGAAAAAGTCAGGTCCACGAGCTGGTGTGGCAAATGCAGATCCAGAGACCTCAGTGCACTGGCAGGTGTAGGTCCGTTTCAGAAAACCTTGTGACCTCAGAAAAACGTGAGCTCAGAGACCTCTAAGACCATTTTCATGTTTTAGAGATTTATCTTTAAGACTGTAGATTTTCACCTTATAACCAGTTCTCTGGCATTTACTATGTCATCTCAGACAAGTCACTAAATCTTGTTAAGTCCCAAACCTCAGTCCCCTCATCAGTTTTGAGGGGATAATTCTATACTCATAACACTGGATGAAGTTTAAATGAGTTAACCTGTAGGATGCTTAGAATGGTACCTGGCACTCAGTGTGGACTCAGTAAATATTAGCTGTTATTAATGCACAGCAAGTTCCTAAAGCATGGCCCTATCTCATAGAAAAGCCACTTGGATTATTACTGTAGGATGTGTATGGGAATGTTTGCAAAACTATACATACCTTGAGATGGGAAGAATAAAGGATGGATCATTTGCTATGTAAGTTCCTTTCGATTTTAGGTTATTAAAGGGTACTTAAGGCTAGATGGACTTTCAGAATTACTTAAAATTACTGTTAATATTCCTCTGCCATTTTTTTAAGGCCCATCTATATTCAGACAGAAAGTAGCTGGTATTTGGGAGTGGGATTACAGGCCAGCAGATCTATGGGGGTTCATTTGGGCAGAAGTTGTTAACCTAGGGTCCATGAAATTCTACAGTAGCACTGTCCAACAGAACTTAATTCAGTGTTGTCTAGTGAGCACTTAAAATGCAGCTAGTGTTGCTACCTTGTGACTACCAGATTGGTCAGTGAAGTTCTAGAGGGTCACGTGGATAGATTTAGAGATTCTGTAAACATTTTTATGTTGTATGCAAAATTGCATGTGTGTGTGTATTTTCTAGGATGTCAAAACCACCAAAAAGAGTATGAGCCACTACTTTAGGACTTTGGTGAAAAGTTAAGGGAGGTGAGTATGCCTTCTTGTAACTACTGTTGATTCTACTTTCTTATACTCTTGTCTTCAGCTGTAGGTGGCTCCTTGACTATTACAGAGAAAAACAAATTGAATCTCAAATAAAGAACCCCTACTACTCCTGGTCTTAGTTCTTATGAGCACTAGATTCTGTCTCTAGAGCTGCTTTCAGCCTACCTGGCCTTATATTCCCTTGCACTCAGGCGGGCAGTTGTCTGTGCTTGGTTTTCAAATTGACATTTGATGAAACCTAGTGTTAAGATTTTCAAATCTGTTCTCTTTGGTGTGGGAGCAGACAAATGAGCAGCTCCTGTCTTTCTGAAATGCTGCTTACCTTAGGATAGTCTGGCCTCCAGGCTTCTGCCACCCTAAGCCTTTGCTATTTGCTTCTTTCTCCAGTTTTGGTTTCTTCCCAGTTTATTTGACTACAGCTTTCCTATGATCTATGGCTTAGGGTTTATTTTTAAGTGTACCACATTACTCTTTGATCCCACTCTTGGCTTTGAAATCCAGTCATAAAATAGTGAATATAAATGGCATATCATTTGAAACACATTTTATTTTTATTAATCTGAAATTATTGCCTTTCTCCATGAAAATATAAAATAAGATATTTTGCTCCTATATTTTGGAATTTAAATTTGCCTTCACATTAACATTAACCAAATTAACTTGCTAATATTGTTTGTTAATATTGATATTTAACCATTTTTCTCTATTTGGATCTTAAATCACTATTTACCAACCCACATGTTATTGCACACCACTAAACTTTTGTCAGAGGAGAGGAAGGGTCACATGAAAAGGGTTGCAAACCATAACTGGTCTCAGTGAGGGAATGCATGGTAGGACATGGAGGGAAATTGAACTGGAGAAAATTTTACTAGTTGTCCTTAGATCGCTAGAAACACTGTTAGGTAGTTGTTTTGGTTAATTTGAAGATAATCCATTTCTGGACTTGAGCTAAAAGAAACATATAGACAGATTTTGCAGGTCACCAACCAACCCAGTTCAGATCATCAATTTTTACTTCAAAGTCTCTTAACTGAAATTAATCCAGAACATAGTTCCAAAACTCCCACTTTTACCTCTCTCTCTTCTCTTGGAACTCAGTAACCTAAGACAATTCTATCATCAAAATATTAAAAACATAATGTAAAACTAATTTAGTGCATTACTTTAACATAAAATTAATTCACCCCTCTTCTATGGGAGGACAGTAGCCTTGAATTAAGCACAAAAGGAGCTTTTCCCTCATTTTGGTTTTGTTCTAATATTGAAAAACTGCCTGATAGAGGCCCCAGGTGAAATAATCCTGAGACGGAAATATAGAGGCTGTCTGCTCCAGAAATCAACCTGAATTCAGGCAAAACTGATGGTGACCCAAATATCATGCTTCCAGTCTTTCTTATGACCAGGATATCCAGTTCCATAGACTGACCTGAGCTTCCCAATGAAGCATAGAGATATGACATGGATGAAGGGATTGCAGGATTCCCAAGAAATGAAGCAATTATTTGACTTTAAAATAGGTAAGTGTCCATTGGATACAAAGGAAAAAAGAAAAGAAAAAAATCAGTTCTTAACTGGAGTAAAAGCTTTGGGATCGACATAGGCCTTTCTGTCATCCCATTACTGGTTTAATACAACTCCTTTCCCCCTTTCTCCTTGGAACAGGGTAACATGTTTAATTTCTATTTCTTCTCTTTGAGATCAAGAGAGAAAATAGAAGCAGAAAAAAACCAGGAACTCTGCATCCATTCATTATTCCTTTAGAGAGGAATGCTCTCCATGGTGTATTTTACAAAAAAAGACTAAAAATGTTTAGAAAATCAATGTTGAAATCCCCGATTTAGCAAAGCTTATAGATCATAACCACTCTATAGAAAGAGAACTTCAATGAAGAACCTGTCAACGTTAAACTTACTGAGCACCAGAGGATTCATTCAGAAGAGGGCACATAAGTGCCCTGGCTGTGGAAAAAGCTTCCTTCTCAGACCTTTATAGATACAATGCCTCCACACAGGGGAGAGACCCTATGAATGCACTACATTTTATGGAAAGCAATTTGACAGTGTGTTTGAAGAATCTTAAAACATTTCTTCTCTTTGATCAAGCACTTATACCTTTCAAAAACTATTTGGAGAGGAGATACCAAAGCAAACCAAAATAGCAACAAAATATCTTCATGATGCAGACCCTGAATTATGGCAGCAAGCACTGCAGTTAACTCCTGCCCCACCCCAATTCAGAATAACTTTCTTCTGGGTCCTCAGGTGCTTTGTTTAGGCCTCATTTTTAGCTCCTAACACAGTTCGCCTTAGATAGGAGGGTTAGTTGCAATCATACTATGATCTGTGTCCTCCTCTGCCCTTACAATATGCATACATCAACATCACACACACCTGGAGTTTCACAGGGTAGAGAACATCTATTATTCATATCGTCATCCATTAAAGTGCCCCATACATATTAAACATTAATAAGGGCCTGTAGCCCTAGCTGGTTTGGCTCAGTGGTTAGAGTGTCCGCCTGTAGACTGAAGGGTCCTGGGTTCAATTCCAGCTAAGGGCATGTACCTCAGTTGCAGGCTTGATCCCAGTCCCGGTTGGGGTGCATGCAGGAGGCAACCAATTGATGTGTCTCTTTCACATTGATGTTTCTCTCTCCCCCTCTTCCCCTTCCACTCTCTCTGAAAAGCAATGAAAAAAAATGCCCTCTGGTGAGGATTAAAAAAAAAAAAAAAAGTGCTTGTAGCATTGAGACAAGAAATATAAAATAGCTCTTGGAAACTAAGAACATAGAACATTGCAATGGATACACCTAGCTATAGTGATTATTTTGAAAAGATTACAAAAAACAGTGCCACCCTCAAGTATTATAAAGATTAAGTGAAATATATTTAAATGCAGGCTCTTTACAAAATAAACTTTCAATAAACATAAGTGTATTTTATTTCTAGTCTCTGTTTAATGATAAAAGCACTTAAGGTTCTAAGTTTTTCTCTGGGTACAGCTTTGGTTATATCCCATAATTTTTATATATAATAATTCTCCTTATTGATGATTTCAAAATAGTTTGTCATTGCAGTTTTTAATTTATTTCATCTTTGAACCAAGAGTTGGTCACCTGGTTAATCTGGTCAAGAAAGTTTCTTAAGATTGACTGGCATGGCTCAGTGGTTGAGCATCAACCTATGAACCAAGAGGTCATGGTTCGATTTCCGGTCAGGGCACATGCCCAGGTTGTGGGCTCGATCCCCAGTAAGGGACGTGCACGAGGCAGCTGATCAATGACTCATCATTGACGTTTCTCTCTCTCCCTCTCCCTCTCTGAAATCAATAAAGATATATTTTAAAAAAGAAAGTTTCTTAAATTTTTTAACTGCATTGATTAGAAAATAAGATTCATTCTGTTTCTGCTTTGAAAGTTCATTTAGGTTTTCTTGTAGACTTATATTTGATAAAACTTGTTTAAGTCTCCTAAAGGCTCTAGAAAACAAGGGCTCTATTCGTAGCACAACAAATCTAAAATAGCCTTGGACCTCTCAAGTACTTTTATATGTTTGGAAGCATCCTTCATGCTTATGTGAAGGGGAAGTGAGAGAAGAGTTTGGGTTGCTTCCCATTCTGTCTCCCTGGTTTATTTATTTTACTTCCTCTCATCTGTTAAAAGTTTTTTTAAAACAACAACTATTTTATGGATTTTATAAAGCAGTTGTTAATAGCTGCTTAGTTATTAATGCTGGCAGTAAAAATAGGCAGCTAAAGGACCTAGGAGAAAACTCATCCCTTTCTCCAGCTGAGATAGTCCTCCCTAGGATGCCATAGTAGTTTGTCTTGAAAGCAGAGAGAACCTGCAGGGGTCACATTAAGAGTTTTGCAGTTGTGACCTTCCAGAATCTCCATGGAGTCTGTCTCAGTGGGACGAGGATGTTGTCTAGACTGAAATCAAGGAAATTAGGGAGTAGACTGGTGAATCAGCTCCCAAGGGGCTCACAATATAGTAGGGGTTGAAAGACTTTATGCTTTTTCCTCCTGCACTTGCAGTCACCTTCACATTCCTGAAAAACTATCCTAAGGGCCACAGGAAACTTTATGCTCTTTAATTATAAAATGCGTGCCTGTCCTGAAATCCATTCTCATTTCTGGCCTAGTGATCTGGGCCAAATAATCTCAGAAACAACTAACACTTAGTCTTAAGCCTCCTAGCCTGACTCCCTGCTTTCTCTTCAAGTCCCCCATAAAGATGTGGCATGGGATGGATAGGTGAGCTCATCTCTTGGCCTCTCCTTAGCACTTATAGTCAGTTTAATCAGCCCCCAAATCTGAGTGTTTTAACAACTGAGATGGGATTTTTTTTCTCCCTAGAATGAGAACTGGTGCTAAACAGTTTACTCACAATCTAAACCATAAGTTCTCAGCCTTGTGTACATTGGAATCACCTCAAGAGCTTTAAAAAGTTCTGATGCCTACTGTCTTAGTCTATTAGGGCTGCTATAGCAACCTATCACAGCCTGGGTAGCTTATAAACAAGAGACTTGTTTTTCACAGTACTGGTTACTGGAATTCCAAGCCCAGAGTGCCAGTATGGTCAGGTGAGTGCCCTCATACAGAATGCAAACTGCCCATCTCTGTGTCCTCACATGGTGGGAGGGGCTAGGGAGCTCTGTGGGATCTTTTACAAGAGGATTAATACCATTAACGGGGGTTCTACCCTCATGACAAAGCAATTCCCAAAGGCCTCACCTCCTAATACCCTCACACCAGGCATTAGTATTTCAACATATGAATTTTGAGGGGACACAAACATTCAGACCATAGCACCTAGGTTCCACCCCCTAGAGATTCTGATGTATTTGGTCTGGGCATCAGGATTTTCCAAAGCTCTTCAGATATTTCTAAAGTGCAACCAAAACTGAGAATCACTGACCTAGACACTAATTTGAGCAACAGTATAAGAAACTTGGAAGCAACTGGCCTGGTAGAGAATTTCCATGAGCTTGTACATTTGTAAAGACAGGTGAAAGAAACTGAAGAGGTGGTGTGCTGTTCCAATGAAGGTTGCTATAAATCATAGGTCAGGTTGAATTTCCTATTAAAATCTATTTTTAACTAAGTGTGGCAGGATAAAAATGGCTGCAGTCTTTATTCTCTTATGGGGGGTCTGATCCTCAGCCCCTGAGTCTAGGCTGACCTGCTTAGGCAATACAGTGACGTGGAAGTGACCTTCTGGGACTTCATAGGAAGTCTCGAAGCTGCCACCTGTGGCCTCATGGAATGTGAGCTCTGGAAACACCAGCCACCATTGAAAACGTCTGATTACCTAGAGTCATGATGTGAGGAAGCCCAAGCTACGTGCATAGAGAAAGATGCCCAGTCATCTCCAACTGTTCCAGCCAGCCCAGCCCAGGCACAGGCATACTAGTGAAGAAGCCATTTTGGACATTACAGTCCCAGCAGATATAGAGGGAAAATAACCAAGGAATGACCAGTAGATAGCAGTACTGAGGCCCCAGGCAGACAACCCCAGTTGATTATAGTCCTTCCAGTGATCCCCAGACATTCAAGCAACCCCAGCTGAATGAAGCTCTAGTCATGGGGCAGACATGAGTTGTCCCTGCTGTGAACTGCTCAAAATCCTGAGCATACTAAAAAGATTGTTTTTACACCACTGAATTTTGGGGTGTTTGTTATGCATCAATAGATAACCAGAACGAGAGTAATATATGAATAGTCATTATACAAGATTTGAAGAATATAGATGTATACAAAGAAAAGGAGGAAAATTTTCCATCACTCTCTCACTTCTACTCTCGCTCTTTCTCTTTTTTTGTTTTGTTACTACTCACCCAAGGATATTTTTTCCATTGATTTTTAGAGAGAGTAGAAGGGAGGGAGGGAGGGGGGGAGAGAGAAACATTTATGTGAGAGAGCGACATCAATTGGTTGCCTCCTGCATGTGCCCCAACCAGGGCCAGGGATCAAACCTGGGCAGGTATGTGCCCTTGACCGGGAATCGAACCCATGACCCTTCAGTGCTAGGGCCCATGCTCTAACCACTTAACCACACCGGCCAGGGCTCTCTCTTTTTTTTTAATCCTCACCCAAGGAATGAGGATATATTTTTTCCATTGATTTTTAGAGAGTGGAAGGAGGGGGGAGTGGGGGGGGAGAGAGACACACATGATTGGTTGACTCCTGCATGCACCTAGAGGAGGCTGAGGAACCTGCAACCCAGGTATGTGCCCTTAACCGGGAATTGAACCCGCAACCCTTTGATCCACTGGCTGATGCTCTAATCACTGGGCCCCACCAACCAGGGCGAGCAGAGTCTGGTTTTAAAACCACTTCCCTAATCCTCTGCACACCAGTGAAAACATATTCCAGTTAATAAGGTTTTATTTAAGTTTTTGTTACAATAACTGAGCAAAACATGAAAGTCTTCCTGTAACATTTAGCTTGCTATATTTTGTTTTGCCTTATTTACATTGAGAACATATTCAGATTATGTTTCATGTGTCATAAAATGTTTAAATACTCATTGAAAAACACAAAAATATATAGAGGACATAGAGTGAAAAACATAACCTCTACCTCCAATTCTATTCTCTAGAGGTTGTCATGTTATTTCTTGAGTCTCCCTTGAGATATTTAAATTTTTAGACTATTTTTCTATTCTTTACCAATATGGGACCATACTATCACATTGTACTGTAAACATGCTCTTTTCACTTGATATATATTAACCATTTTTGCACAGTAGCACAAGAAAAACCACTGCATCGTTTTCAACGGATGCAGTGCAATCCATGGAATAGATTCACCAAAATTTACTAAGCCAGTACCTTGGTGATAGTCATTTTTGTTTACAGTTGCTAACTGGCAAGTGTGGCAGGCGGTGGAATGCTCCAGACCGGTGACAAGGATTTAAGTAAGAAGGTGGCCCTCACACTGCCATGCAGGTGAATAGTCTAGTTATGTTTACCTGAGATTAGAAAGTAGTCTTGACAGTGATGCTAAGTGGCACCCAGGGAGGCCAATGGAGGCCTCAACCTAGTCCAGGTTCACTCAATCCAGGTTCTTGTCACAGAACAAGAAAGGATTCAAGAGCATGACAGAAAGATTTGGAAAAGCACAGTAAATTTATTAAAGAAATAGTACGAACTCAAGAAGTGAGAGTGGGCAACCTCGGAGAACAAGACTCAAAGATGGTGTCTGGGTGCGAGGTTTTTATAAATGTGGGCAAGGGGGGGTAGATAGGGTGGTCTTCAGCTTCTGACGCTGTTGGGTTGACTAACAGAGCGGCTTTTGTCTCTCCCGTCCAGAAGCAATTTCTTTTTGGTTCTCTCAATTACAGGAAATTGGGGAGGGGGAACAGGTGGTCGGTGAAGGTCAGGGCTGTAATGTTCCAGCCAAAACGAAAAGGGGGAGGGGTAGAGCTTGAGGCCTTTGTTTCCTATTCCAACTTTCCTGCCTCAATGGGAAGGATTTACCTCAATGGGAAGGATTTAAATTGAATGTTGTAACGAGAAATACAGATGAACCATCCAGCTCGGTGTTCCTCCCCACCCTGCCCCTGCCTGCAGGTGAGATACGTAAAAGTTAAAAAGCAGGGGCTGCTGAGGCTGACGTGGGGTCTATGCCTAGGATCCCCTGCTAGGTTATCCCAGGCGGATTTCGGGACTTCCATGAATGCCCTTAAATGATAAACGAAGCGGTAAATGCATCGACTCTTTTCTGAACAAAATCATTATCCTTATGGAACTTAGCATTTTACCAGATCTTTCAAAAGGAATCATTAAACTTCTAGGGGCAGTGTTTGAAAACCGAGAAGATGGCAGTGTTGGCATAAATGACCCATTTCTCTCACAGCTCTCCTCATGACTGGAAATTATCGTTTACTTCCCTCTCTCTTGAGCTGAGCTCCTTGGAGCAGGACTCCTGCCTGACGGGACCACCCTCGCCCCTGGCACGGTAAGTGGTTACATACTAGGCCTTGGTAGGTAAATACTTGCTGTAAACACGAAGCCTACAGGTTCAGAAGGGTCTGAGGGCTGAATCAACGGCCTCCACGCAGCTCGCGGCCGCTGGGGACCGCGCGGAATCCACTTCACGCGGGTGTGCTCGGACACCAGCGGCGACACAGCTCCTCCCCCGCGCTCTGCGCTAGGCCCCTGGGACCAAAAACGGCTCCGAGTTGCTGGGGCCGCCCACAGCGTCGGCAACGCCGCGCCGCGCCGCGCCCCGCCCACCGGGAGACGTCGGCCGAGCGGCCC